ATAACAAAAAAAAAACAACAAATGAATTCAAATTTCAACTTAATCACCTTGTCGATGATTTATTTTTACAACACTTTAAACTACAATGTTAATTTATTGTAAATTAATCAAATATTTAAAATTTTACTTTGAATTTAATTTTTAAATTTTATACTTTACTGCAGATAGATGCTTTTCTTGCAGAAGACAATCACAGAATAACATTTTGTTTTTAGAGAAAAAAAAAATGAGTAAGTAATTCACATGAGTTGTTTAAAATTTTACAGTAATAATGAAAACAGTTTACAAAAAGTTAAGCTTTGTTTACACTGTTCAAATAAATGTCAAAATAATATGAAACATATTGAATGTGTTGACCGACTAAGAAAAGAGATTCTATATACCTATGTATATACAAGATTTTTTGCGAGAAATTATGTCATTGTTTCTCTTTCTAAAATTTTTTTCAAGTTTTATGCCAGACAGACCTAATATATACATATTTTAATTTGATTACGCTTGAATAAATTACGTATTCGTATATGCATCAGTTAAATATTGAATTTTAATTTGTTTTCTTTCTAGGTACTATAACTAAACTAACTGGGTCTATATAATTAAATTTTAAATTTCAAAGTATTAAGATAGTATAATCAAGCATTCATTGAATTCTTAAGAAGCTGTAAAGGGAAAAGATCGTTTTAGTTTCTTAATTTTATTAAATTATTATCTAGTAGCTTTTAGATTAGATTATTGTTAGACCCGTACTCTTAGACTACTGTTATTTTTAAATATTCTTGAAAAACAAAAAAAAAACATCTTTTCTTGTTTTGTACAGGATTTAATATCTGTATTTATATTATTATATTCATTATCATCATAATTTGCATTTATACATATGATCATATTATATTCTATTTATTTATATATTATTATATTATATTGTACATATTCAAGATAATATAAGTTATCCTTTATATTATTATTTTCAATAATAAAAAAATTCACACCTAATATTAGTTTTTCTTTTTCTTTTCTTTTCTTATTTTACGATGGGAATTGATTTCTTTTATTGCCACTTATGGGATTTTAAATGTTCAGTAAAACATCTAATATTTGATCATCCAATTTGTTTTATTGTTTTTATGAGGCATTAAAGGAGATTAAAGACGTTTGTAGAATTATAAAAAAATATTTTTTTTTTTGTTTTTTAGTTTAGAACTCTATAAATTTTCTATATATCGTCTGTATGTGTAGGTGATTCTCTAAAATTATAAAAATATAATAAATTTCATTTCTCCGATATTGGAGATTCACTTTTAGTGAAGCTCAATAAAAAGAATTTCATTTAAAAAAGGATCGCATAAAGAAATAAGTACATACGATTTTAATAAAAAAATTACAAAATAAAATTTAAAAAATTCCCTTGCTCAAATCAGAATTTAATATTACACCCATACATGAAAAATTAAGTAATAGTTCGTCTCAAAATTACTTACTAAATTTATTGGTATCGTATACTTTTTTTCGAGGTATTTTCAGAAATTTTTCGTAAAATTAATAATGTTGTATTTAATCAAGCCGTTTGCTACAATATAATTAAACTTTGTGATATTGTTTAACGTACGATTGAAAGATTAAAAAATTAAACTATGAATATATACTACATCACTATAAGTAGATCCATTACATAGATTAGCGACTAAAGAAATATAATGCTCATTAGTAGTGCAATTGCAAGATTTGTACACAAACTAAGTGTGTTTTTTTATAATTTATATTATATTGAAACATTATTCTGAATATTTAAAAGTACAAAAATAATTTTAATGTATTAATACTTAGGTAGGTGAAAAAATTTGTAATTACTGACAATAACAAAAACATACATTTAATTCATATACTTTCCAGTGCGTCTTCAAATAAATCGTTACTAGTATGTTTCTCTATTAAAAATATATTACTATGGTTGGCTTCAATGTGACGTAATAAATCAAATTGTTTTACAAAACTCTGATTGCAATTTGGACAACTTAAATCTTTTTGACCTTGTTGCTGAAGATGCTTTCGCATATGTGAATTAAATTCTTTTTCTTGAAAAAATACACTTCCAAATGATTTGGGACATATTGGACATATATAATTTTTCCATTCATTTTGGTGTTTTTCGTAATGTTTTTTATAATCCTTTGTGCTACTGAATACTTCGTTACAAATGTCACAACAAAATGATGATTCATAACTGATACATTCATCACTTCCAAAAGATGACTTTAAATTGAATTCTTGTTCTATATTATTTGTCTCTTGCTGTGGATTAATTAAAAATTCATCAAAAACAATTTCACTATCATTACTAGCTGGTAAACAAATTAATTTTGAATTTTGATCAGAATTTATAACAAATGTTTTTGTAGGACTAAAACAGTCTGGTGTTGCAATATTACTATTAGTAATAATTGAATTATCATCTTCAATAATTTCTAATAAGTTTTGATTATCCCCGTTTTTGTAGCCCACATCAATTAAATACTTTGCAGATGATTTGTTAGAATTGTTAATCTTTGAAACACCAATATTGGTGCTATTGTTTTGTTGTTCTGATTTTTGTATCTGATTGGAAACCGATTCCTCTTCTTGCAACGAAAACATCTCATGACACGGATTCTTTATAATTAAATGCCGTTTATATATGTGACATAAAAATACCTCTAATGTTTTGAAACTAATTTCACAAAATTCGCAAACAATGTAACATTTATCATTTTCAATAAATATTTCAGCACATTTTCCTCTATAATGTTTCAACTTTAAATTTTGTCCAATTTCGTTAGACCTATTTTTATTTATCAAATTCCTCGGATCTAGACCGTTATTTTTATTTTTTTTAGTACAGCTTCCAGAAACTACATTCTCATCAAGAAATTCTACAAGCAAATTTTCTGAACTCATAATTTGAAAATAGTCGATTAAATAAATTATTAAATTAAAACAAACTATAAATTTTAGTAAACAAGATTTTATATGTCTTTTGTTTTGTTTATATTTTACGTTGCAACTTTAAGTTTTTATTTATGTCATTTATGATTACTTGTACATTCTATCAATTTTACAGTGTCTGTTTTGACAATTCTATTAAAAAAAGAAATTATGGGTGGGCAAAAAACTTTGACATTTCAAAATTTATATTGAAAACATATTAAAATTGTTAAAAAAAATATTCCAACTTCAATCGTGCAGCCTATTATATTCCTATATGAACGAAACATATATGGGAATATATTATATTCCTATATTACTTGACTTAAAGCCGACTTGACTGAAGTCAATCAAAAAATTTACGTACTTGACTTGATGTTAAAAAATAATGACTTGGAACGTAAAACTAAAGTTTTCTAAAATAAGATTTCAAGTTAGTTGACATAATGAAAACGCAACTCTACTTCCGAGGTTATTTCAAATCAAGTACATAAACTGTCATATGAACTAAAAAACAAACAAATATTTTGACATTTCAATTTAACAAAATCGGTTTTTGATTTTTTGCAAAGAAACAATATTTCAGTTAAATTTTAATTCTTGACAACAAGCTGCTTTTTTATTTAATTCTTTTATAAAACTAAGAATAAAGAAAAAACGTTTACGAAACAAAACTTGTTATTTTTACGAAATCAACTAAAATGAAAAACTACGAAACTAAAATGAAAAATAACAGTATGTATAGTTGCTTTCACGAAACAAAAATTGAAATTAAATCAGTTTAATTGTTTTAAACAATAAGCCTCGAGAATATTTTTAAAATAGCTCTATTAAGGAATAACTGAGTTATTTTTGACAACGTCAAAATATATATTAAAACAAAACTTGCAAAAAGAAAAAATTTAATAATTGCGTGTTTTTTTTTTCTTGATGAAAAAAAATCACGCTCGCGATATCAATATTAATTTGAACTCTAAAATTAACCTTAATTCTTGTTTATTATTAACCTTAGTTGATTCTTTCTTCACAAAATAGAGCTATGGTCACTTTATTTTAAAATCACAGTAATTTAAAGAATCATGCGACACCGACAATACTATAAAGGTAACACTCCTTTTACACTCCTTTTGGCCATTTCATTTGAAATAGCAAGATTTTTGCCTCAAATTTAAATAACACTTATTTAGAAAGAAAAACAAAATATTCTTATAGTTAATAATATAGGTATATTTATTTCTTATTGAAGTAGTAGTAAAATGGTTTCGGTATACAAAACAAATTGAAATTGTTTTTATTCACATATCGGTCTTAATTCTTACAAAATTTATAAATAAAAATACTGTGAAATTTAAATTTTTATAAAAATGTTATTTTCCCTTTTGATTAAACTAACAATCTGTAATAGTAATTATTATTCGCAATATTTTATCCTAGTTACTAGTTTAGCATTGAAGTAATTGATTCATTTTTTTTACTAATATGATGCAAAAAGAAAATTGTTCAATATGTTCAATTTTCAAAATATTTTTTTTTATTAACGGTGTCATTGAACAACAGCAATCTGTTCAAAAAATATTACGGTGGACTTTAAACTCATCGTTTCTATTTTATAGATTTCTAATTATGTTTATGGCATTAGTCAGTAAATTACAAAAACAGGAAATAAACATGCTATTCCTATCTATTCAAATTATGAATTTAAAATTATAAAAGACAATTTAATATTATTAAATTATTATTAATTATTAAAATTATTAAATGAAAATTTTCAATGCCAAACCAGATTGTTTCTACTACTAGCATTATCGTATTATGTTCTTATATTTTTTATAAATATGTAGAGTATAAATTGCTTTCCGGCACTTCAGATGTTTTTAAATTCCCTAAAGAAAAATGCTTTTACCTGTTGGTATTCTTTTATTAGAGAGAATAATTGATAGAATGCTATATACAAGGAGTACCTATACAGAGCATAAAACAATTATTTCTTTAAGAACTTATCAAATTAAAATACCCTGATATTTAATAAAAAATAAAATAAATTGAATTCAAAAAATATTATTTTCTTTTAAGGAACAAAGATCCCTTATTTGATAAAGGTAACTACGTCTAACTTAATCATAAAAATTCAATTATATATTATGCGTAGTTATAGGTTTATGCCTTATATTTTATGTTATGTAAATTTCGTTTATATACCACTGGTTGTTACATAAATCTAGTCTGATGCTTTTAACGCATCCTATAGTGATTATTTTCGTGAACTTGAGAGAGATCACCTTTAAATGAGACTTCAATTTGAAAATCTAAATCGCGATTATTACGTTCATTGGGTTTCATTTTGAATGTGCCATATATTTCTTCATTCTTTTTCACGGTCATGTAATCATCCAAATAAAAGACGGTTTGCTTCCAATGAGTGTAGGCAGCTTCGGGTGCAGTACTAAATCCTAAACGTTTATGACATTTAGTAAATTCGATATTAAAATATGTAACCAAAGCTTGAACAAAATCATTTCGTTTTACAACTAAATGAAACGGTGATGAAAAATCCAAGTCATTTTTCTTAACTGTATATAAATCAACTTCTTTAATCATATAAGAAGTTGTAACAACTTGTTTGGCATCAACGACATCAACAAGAGGCTCAGTAATTGCTACTTTCCTTATGCAACTCATATTAAACCCATACACATCATCCCACCAATTAATTTTTTCGTCCTTATACTGCCTATCTTCAATAGCTAAAAGTATATAATATTCGTAATTAAAAAAATTAACTCTTCTCAAATAGAAGATAGAGGTTAAATTTTAGTACAATCACCTGTAATAAATAAAGTCCCACGATCAGGAAACATCATACCGTTCGATTTCAACCATTTATCACGTGCAAAGAGGACTGTGTCTAACATTGATTCATAAAACAAACAATAACCCATCCACTCAGATATTATAATATCAACTTTATCATAACCATCAGGTAATTCAATTTCTTCAATTTTTCCTTTAACTATTTTAATAACATTTTCCATTCTATTATCAATTACAACCTGTCGGGCATAATCAATAATATTGGAACAATCAACAGCTATTACTGCCGCCGCACCAGCTTTGGCTGCAAACATTGATAAAATACCGGTTCCACAGCCTACATCTAACACAACTTTATCTTTGAATAAATGCTTATTATGATATATAGCATTACGATAAGTTAATGTGCGTACTTCATCTTTAAGCATTTCTTCATGGATACCAAAGTGAGCATAAGAATCAAAATAATAATCCCTCGATGTCATTTCATCAGCAGCTAGCTTATCAACTTCGACATCAAGATTTTTGGGTGAAGAATTTTCTTCACATTTATTGTTAAGAGTTGACATATTATCCATTACTTTTTTGTTCGGCAGTTATTTAATATCCAACTATATTTATATTTCACGATCAACACTTACAGAATTATGAAATATAAATTATTGATTTTGGTTGTGAAACATTTACTTTTGGTAAATATAATTAAAACCCAATTTTTTTAAAATTCCAAATTTCAATTCTTATTTCACACGCGCTATGTTAAAATATATTAATATGTCAAATTGAAAAATAGTTTTTAGGTTATGCTAAATGATGCTCGTCAATTTGTTGACAAGCCGCCGATATTGGCAGAGTCGCTATTCACGATTATGACATTTCACCTGATGTCGTTAGTGTAGTCAAGGTAGAGTGGTTATGGGAAGATAATACTTTTCCATGATTTAGTCATTTTACTTTGTATGAATAAAAAATGCCAAATTATGGAAAAAAAAACTAGTTGTTCTGTTCTTTTATTTGATTTTTTTTATTATGGAGTGTAACATTGTCAGCTATGTAATTATTGTTTCATGAAAGGGTCTACTGTTTTTAATAGTGAACTAAGTTTTAAGAATGTTAATTTTATATCTAAAATTGGTTTTTAATTTAAACGTAAGTTATTAAGCATTTTGTCATTTAGTAATTAAGTTTTTATTTAGTAATAAACTTTTTGGATAATTTTGTAAAAAAATTTGTGAAAATTTCGAAAAATTTTATTATAACATTAATGTCACAAGTTGTGACTGTACTTGCCCCTATAAGGAAGCTTTTTCTATTATTTTTCATTAATTGCTTTTATAAGCACGCTCAACAAGTTCGAATAGCATTATATCAATATTGTGAATAGCCCAAATATATGAAAACTCTTTGACAGTTAAGCAGTCTTTGACATTAGTTATTGGGTGTAAAAGTCAAAAAACTATTTAATCAAATAAAAAAGTTTACTGTAGACAATTTTTAATTAAAAGCAACATAATAATAAACAAATAAGAAATTTTTAGAAATCTACATATGTATAATTTTAACGCAAAATAAATATAATTTTAGATTTATAAATCGCAGAATTGCTTTTGAAACTTTTTGAACTGTGGAGAAAATACAAGATTTAGGTAATTTTTAATTTCTTTTGATTTAAGTATAGGGTTTGAGAACAATGTCTAAAAAAACAATTGCTAAGTAACAAGTATTTATGTTATGTTTTGGAATAGGCACAAAAGATATATGGCTAGGCTTTATTTTACCAGCTTTAATTTTAATTGAAGTAGATATTAACTAATTAGAGTTGGCTTTGTGTTTTTGAAGAAAATTTAATTAAAATTTGAATTCAGATTCAGAACTTAGTCTATAGGTTTGTGATTTTGATCCGACAAACACATGCATTATTCTATTTACTTAGTGTATGTTATATTCTAAATATTGTTTACAAAAATAATATAAATACATATTTAATTCATTGTTAATATCCTTTATTTTTAGATTACTTCGGTATGTCAAATCAACCTGTCGTATATGAAGTTATAGAAATTGACGAGGAAATCAATGAAGATAAAAATTCTTCAATATTAGAAGAATACCAGCAGTTAAAAAATTTCAGCGCAAAATATTCAAAGCACGTAGAAGTATATTCAGATTCTGTTAATCAAAATTCTTTGCAATACGTATGTACAGAGTGCAATTTTAACATACCATTTTTCGAAAAAATATTGGACCATTTTCAAGATAGATGTGGTAAATTTGCTTACTCGATTCTTATATTAAAATATCCCAATCTGAGAGATTGTTATCATAAAATGAAATCAAAATGTTATTTAGCAAATCGTAATTCGTACATATCGTTTCAGAAAATTATATAAAAAATGTTTGCACTCCTTGGTACAGTGAAACAAAATGTGGTGATATTTATGTTGAAAACCGATGGAAAATGAAATACAAATGCGCTCTGTGTAATAAAATTTTGTTTGATACTATGATTTTCGTCCATTTATCTCAACATTTAAACGATTTTAAAAAGGATATTAAAATTAATCCTGAAATTGTAAAAACTGCGGTAGTTGTAAAAGGTGCGTAGTACAATTGTTATAAAAAAAAAGTAATTTTATCGAATCTTTTAAGAAACTGTTTAATTAATTTTTAGATAAAAAGATTTTTAAAAGGAAAGTAGTAAATGTGTATTTACACGAAAATTCAAAAAAAAAATTTTTATATTGTTGTACGTCATGCGATTACAAAAGCTTCAGTTTTCTGTCAATACATAGTCATTTGCAATCTAACGCGGAAACTTGTGGTAAAATATAAAGAAATTAAACTCTCTAACAGAAATTGTAATAAATTTTTTGGTATATATTAAAAAAAATAAAAATTTTAGGGAATGCTTCTTATGAGGTCATACTGGAAGAAAATCAAGTTGACCAACTGAGGAAGAAAGTTTGTGAGATTTTTGTAAATTTAGAAAAAATGATAACGTACGTGTGTCAATACTGTTTTGAAATTTATGCAGGAATGCAATTGATGATTGATCATTTAGCAATACACATAAACAAAGCAATTTTAAGTAAACTGGTTAAGTAGAATAACTATTAATTTATTTTAAATACATTTTTCGGTTTCAGATCAGACTTCTAATACCGAAGATATCGGATTAAAAATTGTTAAAGCACAATCTTTAGTATCAATATCCAGGAAAAAAAAATTTTCAGATAAAAAATGGGTTTTTAGGTGTCTCATATGTGAAAGAGAATTTAAACTAAATGCCTCCTTACAAGTTCATTTACAAACGAGACATTCAAGTATGAAAACATTTATTTTTCTCTTATAAGAAAATATTTCTGATTTCACAAAATTTAATTGCCTGTAGTTAAAATAAATTCAAATCCAAATAAGGAGGTTTTAGTACTGATGACAGAAAGCCCGAGCGGAAATGAGGCAGTGGTTTCGCAAAACAAAAACAAAAATTTTAACAACATATGTACCGAGATAACAAAAAATGTAAATGAAAGAACTTCATATGAAAATTCACATACTAGTGAGGATTCAAGTCCAAGAAAATTATTAGATTTTTGTAGAAGACCATTACCAAATATTATAATTAAAACTTCTCCTAACAATAAACCACTGATTGGTAACCATTATTATTTCATGTTTAATTTTATTAATGAAAGCGTGAATATTTTTTTTCTAGATAATTCTGTGATTTCTTGTAATCCAGATGAAGACCCCAATCTATATATAGCAGATTCAGATATACAACAAAATGTGGATGAAGTTTCAGTAAGCGAAAATGATGATATAATAAAAGCTGAAGCTAATGATGATTCAAGTCCTACTAAGTTATTACAATTTTGTATAGATTCAAATCTTTTACTAAGAACTTCACCTGCTGATTAGCTGTGAGCAAATTAATATTAATAGTATTAATATATAAATAATTTATTGTTTTAAATATTATATAATATTATAGAACTTTGTTTAATTTTTTTTACCTATCTAATTAAAAGCATTTTATTATGTACAATCAATGTCTGTAAAGTAAAAAAATTCAAATTTATCTGCATTGATTTTTAATGTTTATTTAAAAGAACAATTGCATAGCTCGTAATCTTTTTTTAAAAAAGTAAAAGTTCTTAATAAAGTTTAATTAAGTAATGTTAAGAGTTGGGTTCTAAATTTAATTGAATTGTGTACATAAAATCCTATAAATTAATTGAAAAGCACACCGCATGTAGAAGGGGATCTTAGAAAATAAATGCTAATTGTTTTTGTTTTTTTAAATTTTGTACTAAGAAAAAACGGAAAAAATTTATTTTTTCATTATACATATTGCTTTTCAGACGAACAACTAAGTAATTCTTTATTTTCTTCAAAGAAAAATTTATCCTTTTAGAATTTGAGAGTAAACCCCTTTAATTTTACATTTAAAATTTCATTTTAAAATGCAACGGAAAATTATTTAATAATTAATTCATTATTTAATAATTAAATTAAAATAACCTTAAAAGTTCAAAAGATTTAACTAAAGTATGCACCGTGTTATATTTAACAGGCGGTGTAATTGGCACATCCCTACCTTTAAATAAAAAACTAATGACATCTACATTTATTGACAGCTATCTGACATTACTAAATAAGTAAATATTTGGACATGCAAGAAATCATAGAAAATAGAAGATAACGAATATTTTCTTTAATTTTCAATTTACAATGCCATTTTGAACATAAGGCATTGAAAATTGTAATTTGTAAAGTGGTGACAATATGGAAGAAATTATCTATTCGGAAAATTCTGATAAAGAAATCTCAGAAAATAATATTAGTTTTCATTTGAATGCTTCAGGAGCAGTAAATCATGTGAAAGATGCTACATATTTTGCTAAATTAGATACACCAAAGTTATATGAATGTTCCGTATGTGGAAAAGAAGTTAAAAATTTTTTTAGTTTGGGTCGTCATATTGTAAGATTTCATGCAAAAGATACTTTATTGTACAAATGTAAAATATGCAAGAAAAAATTTAGGACAGGGTTTTCTTATAATGGTCATCAATGTACAAAAATATGCTTGAGTGACTATCAGGAACAATCTAAAAATGATAGTATAGAATATATTGAGATTAAGTCATCTAATAAGGTTGAAGGGGAAACTTATACATGTAAGATTTTTTTTCTTTTAAGTTACTAAAAATTATCCGAGCTATTTTTTTAAGCTAACAGTGTCATTGGTTTACCACTAAAAAATGAAAGATTGCTGGCCCATATCAATTCAGTCAATTGCAAAGCTAAAACTAAAAACCTGTTTAATGATCTCGAACCTAGTGGTGCAAAATCAATCAGAAATCCAATATATGACAAAGAATGCAACAATACAAGTAGCGAATGTGAAACATTGAATATTGAGAAAATTGATACAAGAAAGGAAATATCCTCAAATCATACTAAAACGTCGACAGCTCTTAATTCAACGGGATCAAAATCAAATAGAGTCATTAGTACACATAGTTCACATGATTTAAAAGATAAAATTGATCTTGTGAAACAAGAGTATTTGGAAACTTTAAGGGTTCTTGAATTAGGTAAGTACTAATGAATAGTTTTTTTAATATATGACTTTTGGTTAATTTTTTTTAGCTAAAAAAAACAGTGAAAAGTTGAAAAAAGTCTTGTGTGAGTTAGGAGAAAACGTAGAAAAACTTTCGCCCAGAAACGAAAATTGTTTAAACTCAAGTAATGTAGTGGAAGAAAACTGTTTAAATGTTGAGCACCAACAGAATAAAGAGCAGATTGATGATGAAATTTGCACGGAAAAAACGCAAGAATCGTTTTCTATGTTACATGAAATAAGCAAAATAAGTTATTGTGATTCCCAAGAATATGAATTTAGATTGGAAAAATGTGATTATTTTAGTAGTGAGGATTTTGGAGACGATTATAGTATCAATAAAGTTGAAAATGTAACTTGTTTTGAAACACTTCATCATGATTTAGAACACCAAAATAAAGGCATTACTGATTATGACAACTTCAATAACAATAGGACAATAGAACCGGAAAAAAAATTGAAATTGGAAGTAGAAATTTTAGTGGACACAACTTCAAATGAAGAACAATTCTTACATGCCGATTTCACTGAAAATAAAATTTCTGACAATTATGAATCAGTATTCGAAGAATGCTCTGCTCTGTATGAGGCCGAATATATAGATGAGTGTACAGAAGAATTGAGTGCCAGAGAAATAGAAGATGTTGATACCAAAAATGAAGATGAACAAAATCCAATAGATTGTTCTGAGATTAAAGAAGACGCTGATGTTATATCTTCAAAAGGAAAATATAATGATAAATTCATGAGTTTTTTATATAAATCTTTAATGAAGAAAGAACTACAGCGGGATAAAAATCCAAGAAAATTGAGAAAACAGAAAAATGTTAATAAGTTTCCAGAAATACAAAACAGAAGCAAACAATTGTTCGATTTGGACACTGACGAAAAAATGAATAACACGGAAGTTGAGGATCTATCTAATTTGAAATCAACAAGCAATGAAATTTCTGAAAATCGTTTTGGAACCGCAAATAAAAAAACGAGATATTTATGCTTATATTGTGATAAGGCATTTGCAAATAAATCTACATTAGACATTCATTTACGATCTCATACTGGAGAAAGACCATATAAATGTTCCTATTGTGAACGAAGATGCTATGATCGTGCATCATTGGATATACATGAAAGACGTCATACTAATGATCGCAGATATAAATGTGAGTTTTGTGTAGAAAAATTTTTTACTTTATTTGAAAAAAAAAGGCATCAATTTACTTGGCATCAAAATAATTCTAAAAGAAATATGAAAAATGTTGGTGCTTTACGGCACAACATGTCCTATGATCAGAAACGGGAATTCGGTCCAAGAGCTTTGTTAGGAGATGATGGCTTATATCATTGTAAAATGTGTGACAAAATTTGCTTAACAGCGAAAACCATGCGTAAGCATACAGCATTACATTTAAATGGCAAAGCATGTCCCTTATGCTTCAAAGTTTTTGCTTATGAATCTACCTTACAAAGACATTTACTTGTACCTCACGAAGAGAAAAATTATATGTGTGCTTTTTGTGGAAATCGATATGCTTCTACTGCTTCATTAAAAGCTCATTTAAAAGTTCATAGTGAAGATGCAATAAAGTGCTCATTGTGTCCAAAAATTTTTGGTACATTTTACAATTTCGATCGTCATATGTTACACAAGCATAAATTAAAAAATTGGCGTAAGAGTTGTGTTAATACTCAGATCTTTACTATAGAACAAGAATAAATTAAAATTTGAAAAAAAAATCACGTTAAATAGAAAATTATTTATAAATAGTAATGAATTTACTTTATTTTTAATTAGATACATGATTGAGATTCATTTTGAAATTCCTTATTCATTAGGAAAATAAAAGGTCCCATTAAAAATTTGATATACGAGTTGGTAAAGCTTTACCATTACTATTCGCAGATGTTTTATTGTTTGTACTATCATTTTCCGTTGATTGCATTGTAACGGATGAATTTCTTGAATATGATGAAGCTGTTGTTGGTTTAACAGTTTTCGTAAAATTATTAAGTTGTGAAACAAATTTAAATTCTTCTTTAAACTCTTGTTTAAACGGCACCTAAAAATATTTTATTTTGAATTTTTAAAATTTTATAAAATATAGAATTATTAAACAGGCATACATGTGCTTTCCGTGATTGCCTAAAAACAGCAACAGTCCAATCAACCAAACCGTAAAAAAGAGCTATAATACTTCCAATAGACAACACAAAGTATACACCACCTAAGTTATCCATATCTAATTCTGCAGCTTCACTTTGTTCTTTTTTAGCCTAAAAAAAACGTAATCAAAATTTTTAAAGATTTATTTTATAATATAAAGACCGAGCATCCACTGGTGCCAACTTCCTTCCACCATTTGTTTTTCATTTTACTTATAACACCACTCTCTTGTAATTCTAATAACGCATGATTAAGTTTATCTCTATATGGTGAATCTACAATTAAAAATTGCTTATACTTTCAAGGAAAATTAAAAAAAGTAAAATAGAATTACTTTTTTTCATTGCTATTCCATAACCTTTCTCATCTAATAGCGATCCAATTTGTGTTAAATTACATTTTCTATAAATATTGTATTCAATTGAAGTTGATTCCATAAAAAAAGCATAGTTTTCATTTAAAACTTTTTCTACAGCTTCTACATTATTTTTTAATAAAAGATGCGGATTATTTGTTAAGTATTCATTAATTTTCATGTATGTTGGTTCATCTGAAACCTAAAATGGTTATTGAAAAAAATGCTCACTATAAAATTGAAAAAAGAAATTACCTGAAAGAATGTGCGAGTTGCACCGTTCGCCACAGTACCATACTTTACGTTACCCTTATTTTCAGCTAAATCGTTAACATCATTTATTGGACTACTCAATGATTCGACTGTTAAAAACGCAGCTAAATTAGCAGTATATGATGAAACCATAATCAATGTGAAAAACCACCAAATTGAGGCTACAGTTCTAGTTGACGGAGCTCTTAATTGTTTAAATAAATTAGTTATTAAAACCATATATTTTTTACTTTATATCAATACTAATTTTTTTCTCAATTAATCAATTACGTACTTGGGCGCAATTTCTGAACCCTCTTGCAATAGAGCTCCTGTTGAAAACCACAGTGAATTACTAAAACTGAATTGATTTTCTAATTCAATTGGTTTTTCAATGCACGGGTACGGATTATCCCATTCCATTGGCGATAATCGCGCTAATATAAATAAACTTAAAGATACGCCTAAATATGCTAAACCAAGATACATCCAAACTTCTTTCGAGAATGGGTCCATGAAAGAAAACAATTTTGGTGGTTCTTTCTGTGGTTTTTTATATAGAATTGCAATACCTTAAAAAAAAATCGGATTTGTAATATTTTTATATAACATAAACTTTATTAATTGTTACCAAGATTCATAAAAGGTATCGTAAAATCAACTCCAGCTTCACGTTGAGAAGTAATTGTTAAATCAGTAATTGCTAAATCAACTCTCTAAAAGCGAAAATTATCAATATTTAATTAATGATCCAATTGTGTTTTAATTATTTTAGAAGATATTATGACGATAAAGTAATAAGCATGTACAAGTAAGAAAAATTTTAAAAACCTTAAAAATAAATAATCTTAAAGATTCTAAATATCATTTTAAACACCTACACCTTCCATTATTTCACGAATCATTCCTGTTGATGTATTTGTCTCAACATTATAAGCACCGTATTGATTATCCTTGTGTATTTGAAATGTATAATTGAAACCAAGTTTCTCAGCTAATCTTTGTATTAACTCAACACCGAAACCTTCATAACGATCATTACCAACTAATTTTGTAGTTGATGATTTTAACATACCATATGGATTACTCTAAAAATATATAATTATAAATATATATCTTAAGATTATAATTAGGCACACATAAGATTTAAAAAAAAAACTTACCAAAGCAGTTAATACTATAAATGATTTATTCACTAATGATAATTCATCATTTGTTTCTAATTGAACAGCTTCCGGTACATATCTTTCAAATTCAAGCTCTGAACTTGGATCTAAATCAGTGGACCATGTTCCAATTTTTACTAAACCAGATGTTGTCATTTCAATTAATTCTAATTGAAATTCATTTCGTATACCATTTTCAAATATTATTTTGCCGGTTACACCATCCATTGTTTTCTACAAATTATATAATATTCAAATGTGGGGGACTAACATGGATTAGATTTTACTAAAATAGTTTTCTTACCAAACCTATTAGATTCAATAATGTATAACCATTTTTCCAATGACTTTCACTATTACAATCTATCATTTCTTGTTGAAATTGAAAATCTTCAGATGTTTTTGCAAATAATTTAACGCCATCATATAATAAAGCCATATCAAGTGTAATAGGACATGATACTAAAACAGAAAACCAAAAAAAAAAATTATTACAAAAATTAAAACAATTTTTATAAAAGAATAGGTATTTTACCATTACGAAATTCGATTCCTTCATCATAACCCAAAGTTTTTATTAATTCTTTAACTTCCTCATTTTCTGGTGATACAATACGGAATCCAGTTATATTTGCTTCACTAAATTGTATTTGTTCTAAATTAATTGAATGAAAATCTAAATTTCCAATTATATATTTATATTGATCTGTTATTATGCCAATTTGTTGAGCCTAAAATTCAAAATTTTTAATAATATTCTATATACGTATATATTTTGAAATTTAATATTATCATATACTTGTATTAAAAGTTCTGGTAATGTTTCAATTGAACCAATTATTACAACACTATTATCTTTTGATGTTCGAATTCTTCTTAAAACACTACGATAATTTCCATATAATTGTAAATCATATTTTCTAATTGTTATTATTGGACCATCTTGATCAAATAAATTTGTTATTTCATTAACAATTGTTAAATATTCACTTGATTCATATAATATTGTAAAACTTGGCCAATTATATGCTTTTATAACAGCTTGTATTGCTCTTGCTAATTGTAATGGATTTGGATACATATTAATACGTGGTGAAAATGGATTTTCTTCCATACGTAAATCAATAAATGGTATTTCTTTTGTATCACATATATTCATAACATGTTTTGCTGTATTTCTTGCTGTTGGACCAAATATACCACTAATACCAGTCTAAAATAACACAAAAGAATTATGTATATATTTTTTGTATTGTGATAAAAATTTTTTTGAATTCATTTACTCTTAACATTTTGCATAATTTCTTTGATGTTTCATATATATTTCCATATTGAACAGAATCAGTATAATCTCTAATTGGTATACTTAAATCACGATTTGCTACATCAACTGCTTTTCGAAATACTTTTCGAATATCATCATTTTTAGTATCAGTAAGTAAACCTGAAATTGTTCGAATATTAAGTAAGTATATCTGACATTTTGTTTTTAATAAAATATTGTTTGATTGAACCAAATTGGCGACTTTTCTTAAAAATTAAAATACTAAAATAATAATGGATAGTTATATTTTGATTAGGTACAATAAATTTGGATTTAATTTAAAAAATTCACGATATGTGAATAAATTAATTCGAAAAAACAAAAACTAACATTTTTCGACCTTTCTATTAAACTTAACACATAAGAGATAAGAAACGTTTAAACCTTTACATATACATACATACGTATATATGTATAGTTACATAATATATTCGAAAATTATAATAAAAAGTGTAAGTTGCGTTAGAATTTCATAAAATATTATTATAATCATTGAACTAAGATTGAAATTATACAAATATGACTACATTAAAAGATAACCTTATTTATTGAAAAAAAAAATATCAGTAAACAATTTGAAAGAAAGAAATAACCGATAGAATACCATAGAATTTAAATATAATGTAATAATTAGGATAAATGCACGAGAGTTTTGTTCATGTTTCTAAATTAATAACAAATTTTAACATTTCAGGTGTTATCCTGGAATAAAAGTATCAGAATTGTCTAAAAATGATTTAATTGTTGCGAAAATTTTTGGAATTCACTAGGAAATTGGACATTCCAAATAAATTGAATAAATTGATTTATTTCTGTGGGTTTAATAAAATTGTTGACTAATTTTAGTTATACATAATATTTTTAATTAACAATTTGATTTTAATTAATTATTGAATATTTATTTGTGACTTTATAACCCCTTTTCTGATAAATCAGTTTTGCTAAGTAAATTTCAATACAAACATAAACAAACGCGAAAAATAATAATATTTTGTATATACATACATACATACGTATGTATGTATATGCAATATAGGCATTTATTTATAGTTGGAAAGACGACATACTATAATAAAAAATATTTATAAATTATATTTGGGCATTTGAAATTGGTTTTTTTTTTTTCGTGATTATAAAGAAGATCAACATTTTATTAAAATTAATGTTTTTTTTTAGATTACTCACTTATTAAAATTTACGTTTTAATAAGTAATGTGTTTGAATATGTATATATATACCTGGTAGTATATGTTGGTACAATAAATATAACAGTGCGCACAATATGTGAACTATTCTTTTGGCGATCATTACAAAAAAAAAAAAAATTAAATTGGAATTTCCTTGAAAAAGTTTTTTTCATTTCTGGAATCATAAATTTTATATGGGAAACATTCATATGTACCTTCATTTACACATATATGTATATATATATATTCTGATGCGAACTTTTAACTCACCTAATGTGATTTCATTGTGAAAACCAGAAAATCTTCCACCATAAGATTGTGCTCCAGATACTTCAGATTGTTTTAGATAACAATGAAAAATGAAAATTATTAATAATAATAATTTCATCTTATTCTTATTGATTTTCGCTTTTTTTTAAATTAATTTTAAAAATTTAATTAATATAAAATTAAATTTTCTTCCGACATTATATTTTAAATTAAATTTTGTTCTTTTCTAAGCAATTAATGAATTTTAACTAAATGATCAGCTCTCATAAATTCGAAAAAAAAAAATTGAGATTTGAGTGAAAAAAATAATTTTTTTTATTATTTTTTTTTTTTTGGAAAAAAGTGATAAGACGTTTTTGTATTATTTTGTCAGATTGTTTTGTTAAATTTTTATTGAATTTTGTCTGACGCTGGTTTTTTTTATAAAAATTAATAAATCTACTCAAATATAAAAATTAATTATAATATTAGTAATGTGTACATATATACTTTACAGTGACATACAGAAGATCATATTTTTGGAATTACAAAAGTAAACTACTCGTACTTTTTTTTTTGGGGGGCGCTATTTTAAATAAAAAAAATTTTATACTCATTAGAATTACAAAAATTGCCTTCTGTGTATCACTATAAACACTATACGCAATGGTATTAGATTAAAGGATTTCATTATTAAATTATTATTTCGAATATTTTTAAGTATAACAAAAGATTTGAATTATTTTAATATTCGTAAATTTGGAAATGTTTGTTTGATATTCATTATTTTTATCATTTAAATTGGTATTATAATAAATTGGTATTAATAAAATTGAAAAATTTATTTGAACCATTATTAATATTATTGATAAAATTCAAAGAAATGAAAAGATACGGACGGGTTAATGTTGTATAAACTAAATAACCCAAATGGGTCAAAACAATATTTTTAAATTGGGTCAAAATATTTTAGTAATATTTGCATATATTTAAAAAAATTGAGTATTATTGATAATTGAATATTTTGAATTTATTAAAATTTATGATTAATATTCAAAATTCACTAATAATTTTCTTTATTGGTTATTGAATATTTATAACATAATAATAAATGCATATATGTATGACATTAAAAATTTTTAAAATATACTTAATATTACAAAATACAATTTTTAAATTATAGGTAATCGGCTATACGAAAGTAAATTTTTTTTTTCATGTGAGAGTTAAAAATGAATGAGAAAGTTATTTTTAAATATTTTAAATTGTTTTTTTTTATTATTTTCTTAAATAACATTTTCTCCGTCTCTCTTAACAGACTAGAATTTTGTTTCTTTAGAAATTTTATTTTTATTTATTTTTGTATTAAAAAACAAATATACAAAGTAATTTTATGTTTATTAAATTAATTAAAAGAAAATTTTTTATTGAGTATTTAATAATAAGAGGATTTAAATATATATATATATATATATATATATATATATATATATATATATATATATATATACATATATATGTAAATATATATATTGAAATCAATTAATATAATTTATTAAAAATTTAAAATTATTCTAAATGAACAAAATAAATTTCTTTTATGAATTCTCAATTTAAAGAAAATATAAGTGAAAAATTTTTAAATTGTAATTATAAAATGTATATTAATTTTTATAATTATATAGCATAGTAGCTAAGATTAAGTAGCCTTAATTTTAAAAAATAGTAAATATTTTTTTCTTTGTTGAAATCATATAGAAAAATGTGTAGCCTCTATTTTTGAATTTCATTCATTAAAATTTAAGAAAAAATGTAAACATTTTTGATATTTTATACATGGTTCTTGTATATATAAGTGTGCGTACTATTTTATTTATGGAGAATTCGTAATAAAAGATAAAATAAAGATGGAAAACCCCTTTATCTATAATAATTTCTATAATATATAAAAACCATTAAAATATTTTTTTTTTTTTTTTGCTTAGGTGTATTTTTAAAATTTTTATTCAGTAATGATTTCAATAGATTTAATAATCAAGAGATTTTTAAAATTCTAATATACTGCTAAAAAATAAAATGGTGTAATTGTATAAAAACGGGAATAGAGTTGCCGTGTCAGTTTTGCGATACATGTGTGATTGAATGATTTTAAGAGTTGTATGGTAATTGCCATATTGTTTTTCGTTATATGCATACTAAAATATGTCAACAGTCACTTACCTAGAAACTATTGTTTGTACAAATTTAATTTTTTCGAAAAATAATCTTAGAAAAACAGAACTATTAATATTAATATTGTATTTTTTGGCAACTTTCTCTTTAGATAAGAAACAAGTAACTGAATAATATTACTGAAGTTTATGTTGGCTTGAAAATAAAGAAAATAATCATGAAAAATATCGAACAAAAACAAAAAAAAAAGTAATATTTTATAAATTTTAATTTATTTTTTAAGAAAAAAAGCTATTGAATAGCAAGTAATAATGTAAATTTTCAAATTTATATTATATACGCACTAGAACATTATTTTAAAAAAAATTTATACAATTTACCTATATATATATATATAAATTTCTAAAGCTAAGTAAAATTTAGTACATACATATTTTAAATTATTAAAAATAAAAACTATAAAAAAAAGAATATTTGAAAATAAAAACTCTAAATCATTATTAAAGTGACCATACGCGTACATAATCTATTTTAAGTGCAGTGTCTTCACCTCTCCAAGTTGGATACCAATCATCTTTTGCTTGCCAAAATTTGAGTTCATTTTTTGGATCATAATTTTTCCATGGTTTATCTATACAACTATCAGGAAAATCTGATAATCCGCCAGCAGAAACTCCAAATGATAAGTAAAACTTATTATTAAAGAAAAAGAAAAAATTCTATTAAAATTTAAATGGAAAAAAAAAAAAATTCTCTTTCATACTTTTTGATCGAATGGTGCCATGTTATTTTCACTATTATTCCAATATTTTGCACTTTCTATATTTAAATTAATTGCTTCATTTTTAAATCTATCATAAAGTGTAAAATATTCTTGATTGTCAACTTTAAATTTAATTAAGTTCTCTTTCCAAATTACTTCATAAATATGATAATCATCTCCAAAATGTTTTATATTGCTTTTTAAAAAAGATTTCATCCATTTTTCTCTATATTGTTCACCTCCAACTAAAACTACACCACCAAAAAGTTTAAGTCCACCAATTTTTTCAATTTTTCCCTCTTGTTTTGAATTCAATTTTTCATTTCCTCTAATAAATGCTAAACGTATTTGACCAGATTCATAATCATAATCTCCATAATAATTATTTAAAGGCTCTAAAAATAATTCTAAAAATGATAAGGTAAATGCGAATAAGTAAATATAAATACATAAAATGTAGGTGAACAAAAGTTTTATGTAAATACAAAATAAACTTACGTGGAAATAACCAATCACCTTTAGGTAATTTTGCTTTTATTTGAATTTTTCCATATTTAAAAGAAAAATGATTTTTGGTTGTTATACGAGACGAAACTATAGGAGGTAATATGTTAAAAGAATGAGCTACTCTTCTACAATCGAAATGTTTACCAGTACAACTGTAAATAAGAATAGAAAATAAAATAAATTTGATAAATAGTAGTTGTATAGTTGACCAATTATATTAATCGGTAACGAACCATCTGAAAAAGATTTGTGAAACTGATACCTGGATTAATTCCTAATTGAGAAGCGGTAAAACAGATTGTTTTGTTCAATTCAGATTTGAGATTATTTTTGTTGAGATATATATACACATTGTACATGAAAAGGAAACATATAATGCGTGTGTGATAATGTACAATTGGTATTTCTTAACTAGGTGTGGAACAAGGTAAGATCGTAGAGCTTTCCTTAAAAATGAGATATTTTTATAGAAAAGCTTGTGCCTGTCTGTCTTATAAAACATTTAAATTTATTATGGACCTCAAGTAAATCGCAAATAAATTAGGATTTAAAATAAATTTTGTGAAGAAATAAAGTCAGAATGGCTGCAAGAGTCATGGTGCTTTTCGAGAAAAATATGTATGTAAAATAATAACAATAGTAATATATAAGTATAAGATATAAGTTCTGCATTAAATATTATTAATTACAAATACATACAATTTATATACATAGTAGTAAATATATTATTAATATTTTGTTAAATTATATGAAATTATATTTTAAAACTTACTTAGTTCCTAAATCTAATGTACCCCTTCGAATTCGATTTTCATTAAAACCTTGCATTTCTGTTAATAATTTTGGGAGAATAAATAGAATACCGTCTCTTATATATATATTTTGTGGAAAATTTTGAAATGATGCAAAATCATTATCGTGGGTATCTGATGGTATTCGTATATCTAAATCCCATTTGCTCCAATTAAATACATTAAAATTATCTTCAAAAATTAATTTATCCTTATCATTTATCATTATTTCACCTTCTTTATTTATTGGATTATATTTCTTTTTAGATCGAAAAAAAGCATCTTTTTGTGGTGCCATGTCGTTTTCAGTTATGTTACCCATTCCTTTTGTTCTATATTTTGAATATTGCATTTTATAATTTGCAATTATTTTATAAATATAAAATCCGATATTACAAAATTTTAATGATATTTCAGTTTTCCACCTTTTTCTATGAGTTTCATAATATAATGACTTAAATATAAACTTATGAACTCGATTTTCGTTACATGTGAATTTGCATGATATATTAACATTAATAAATTGATGATCTTCATCTTTAATATTAAAAGTAAAAATTGAAAAATTAATTTAGTTTTTTTATGTAAAACTATAAAAGGTCAGGTCACTATAAAAATTATATTCAATATTATATAACTTTAATATGCAATATTAATAAATATTATACAAGTAATTTTCAAATATTCATAATATGCGATACTAAAAAGACTAAGAATAATAAGCAGTAAAATATTAATTAATATTTAATATAAATAAAATATTTAATATAAATAAAAACTACGGTAGGCTAGTCACCTACCTAGCTAACTCTCTATGACTATAGAAACTAGGACATGATAGATATCATGCACTAGCCCTATACTCCTTATAGGAGTGAAGAAGGAAAAAAAAAAAATTAGTTAATTAATATTATTTTAAATTTTTATACTAGTTAAATAGTTTTTATGTATAATATCTGTTTTAGATTAGCGTAGATTCCTCTTATAGTATGCACCAAAAATAATTTCGCCTAAATTCGACCATTTATTCGTACATTTCAAGCATCTTCTTATTTTATTGATTGGTATAGTACAATTAATGGTTACAATTTAAATATTTTATATTTTGTAAGCTATTAAAAATATTTTTAAGTATTTAGTTATATAAGCTGTTAAAAATAGTATTAAGCTTCTAGTATATACATGTAAATGTATATTGAGGACATCCTATTACATATTATGAATTTTTACTGAAACTATTTAATAATTTCGTTAAAAGTTTCATTACAGAATAATATAACAGTTTTCTCAAAAAATATTGTATAATTATAACAGTTAACGGGATATAACAGTTTTTCTTTAAGAATATTGTATAATAATAATTATTAAATGGACAATATATTTGTTTGATTTATTAAAACTTTTTACTTCTTTATATTTTTCCGTTAAAGCATTATACATAAATATTTCATGAGTACTGCTAAAAAAAACATATATATATATATATATATATATATATATATATATATACATATTGAATGTATGTAACCATATTGCACATATTTCTTTGACATTGATAACACACTTGTAATCATATATTTTGGGAAATATAGAAATAAAAATCATAAGTAAATTGTATTGTTATTAATTGTTATACACAATAAAGTACTCAATTTTTACATTTTTATGCTCACAAAACAAAAAAAAAATACTCAACGCACTCAAAATTTAAATATTTTATTATAACTGCTTTCCATAAATTATGTTGCACGTATACGTATCTGTATAATATTTAATTCAATATAATTACTATAAAATTTTTATTTTAGATTAAATAGCAATTAATAATAATATTTTATATCGGGTTTTCCCCATTTTATTCTTGTAGAAACACATACGTAAATAGTATGTATATTATGATAGTTTTCATTTACACTTTCATTTTATATTATACACAAATTATTGTATATTTACTATACTATCTTTATAAAATATCAAAAATTTTATTTTCTATAATTTTACAATTAATAATTCTATGTGTATTTAAGGTAGTTAATATGTTTGTTTGTTTGTTTACATATCTATTTGTTTACAAATAAAAAATTAATAAATTTGTTTATAATAAAAAAAATTATTCTTTATTTTATTGATAATAAACTCTTATATTTCATGCATAGAATTATGGTGGTTGATCTATCCATTTTAAAATATTAACACTTTTAGATACCGTAAGAAAAAAAATTAATATATATATAATTTGAAAACATATTGTTATAATTATGTTATAATTTATAATTTATAACATTTTTAAATGTATAACAATAATTTTCAAATTATTAAAGAATTATTATAATATTAAAGAAAATTTTTATTTTTTAATTAAAAAATAATAAATATTTACGATAAACTATTTTTTTGTACCTACCTTCATTTAAACTATAGTAAAATTTATTGCTATTAATTTTATTGTTATACTATAAGTGCATTTGTACTTAAATAATGTTTATATAAATAATACACAAAGATCAGAATTTTGAAATTCACATATCCATTACGTATAAAATTAGATCATCGATTTTACATAAATATTTATTTCGTTTTCAAATAATATAAGTAAAAAATTTTTTTCTAAAAAATATTTAGGACAAAAAAAATTTAATGTTATACATTTTAAATGTTTAATAAATTATAATTATTCTGATAATCGTAGAATTTAGATTAATTTATAACCTCTGTTATGAGATTTTATTAACAACATTTTCTTAAACGCATTTCCGAAATAATAAACATATACACATACCTTGAAATAATTCGAATTTAACGAAATTTCGCTATAAATTTTAGATTTTAATATAAAAAATTTTAATACTGTAATAATCTCATTTTTACATGCTAAATGAAGTTAAGTGATTTTGTCTTATTAATGACTTAAAATGAGAGCTACATATTAATTAGAACTATAAATTTATTTTAAAAAACTTTGACAGACAATATAAAATTTTTGAATTTATGTGTATGTACATATAAGAATTTCTATTGTTTTTGCTTACCAGAAAAAGTTATTTCCAAAACACCGTCAACTCTTAAAATTTCAAATTCCGCTTTGTGAAGTTTTTGTAATGTACATGATCCAAAACAATTAAAATTAAATATTAAGAAATATGAAATGAAAATGTATAGGAACACCTTCAACATAAAAAATTTTATTTTTAATTGAATGAATAATTTGTAAACACTGAGAACACAAAACTTTAAACTTACCATTATAAAGTCTAAAATATGAATGAATTTTTCTGATTTATCGTATAAAAAATGAAAGTTTTCGAAAAGAGAGACGAGACGACGACCCGCTGAACAATATTATTGTTATTATTGGGAGAAGAGAATGAAAATTTTAAAAAAGAAAAATTTTTCTTTTCTATTTTTTTTCATTTTTTTTTTTAATATTTTGTATAAGAGTGTTGCGAATTGTGTTATCGTAAAAATAATTATGTATTATGTATACGATATACGTACATGTAAGCATATATGTGTGTGTCGATAAATAAGTTTATGTATTGTTAATAACTTAAGAAATTATGATTTTTTTTTTCTGTGAATTTATTTATTTTAATTATGTTTAAAGGATAGAAGTAATAAGAATTTACAAAGTGAGAACTTATAGCTAATCAGTCTAGAATACAATGACACATTACAAAAAATATTTAAATATTTCTTTTATTAAAATATCATAAAAACTTGAAAAAAAAAATGTTATTTTAAAGCTTATCCGGTGAACAATGGCAGATCTACCATATATGGTAAGTATAGGAAATGAGTGCTGGAAAACAGAGGCGCAATTATTATGAGCAATGTATATAGTTAATTGGTCTGAAACTGAGAGGGTGCCATTTTTAAAAACCAAGTAGGATGCCCAATAAGTGAGATATGTGCTTGCGGGTGAATATAGCAGAACATAAAACTGAAACAAATAATTAAAGAATTATTCAAAAAATTATTTTGTTTATACATATATACATATATGCTAAAGAAAGGGTGCTCAACCGAGGTGGCTGTAGCAAGTTAATAACAGTTAGTTTGAAAAAGAGCATTTTCTTTTCATAGATTATTTCATGTGCGGTTAGATTTTTAATAAAATTCTCTAGCATAATGCCTGATTTTGAAATATCGAAAGTATGTACATTGTATACTTATCTACATTATTTACCTAAAGTTAATATTGCATTAATGTAAACATTGAAAAGGAGAAAGTAAATAATATTATTTACTATCAATAACACAAAAGTTCTTTAAGAATTTGTGTACCTGTGGTCATAAAATATTTGCACATAGATAATATTTATGGCATTCTCTACTTATATGAATGTATGTATAACAATATTTTTCCATGCTTGAACAATGTGTATGTGTATATGTATATATAATTAATCTTAATTAAAATCTAATATTTTGGACTTTAATTGTCTCTTTTATGAAATTGATTTGTCCCGATATGAGTCAAATTAGTTTTGTTATATGAGTCAGCGTTAAATAAATTAAACATTAAAATTTTCACACAAACATTGTAGAGATGCGTATATGTGCACTTAAAATATTTTATATGGGAACATTATTATAAGTTACACAAACGCAGTTCATAGAAATTAATTAAAAAATTCATAAGAAATTTTATTATATTAAAGTAAAAATATTTGTGTGGTAGCTGTAGGGTGCGTCAAAATTTTGTTTTCGAAAATTAATATTTTCTCTATAATCCACGTAGTTCTAAAAAATTTCAGCTTTTTACCTTGACCAGTGAAATATTGTGTTAAAAACATCCAAACTGTTATAAATTGAAATATAAAAAAATTAATAGCATATGTGAAATTTCCAAGAATGTATATGTAGATCTCATCTAATTAAGTCACATAAATAATATAACAAAATAAACAATATTATATATAAATTATATAAATATTATATGTAAAGTTCAGGAGGTAGTCTTCTGCACAATAGTAAGTCACTGATAGTTAGATTGAACTACGTTAGGTTGTCGTAACTACCTTAAGATACATATAGGCCAAATGGGTCTATTGTGATATTGCTGGATTCACTAAATTTTCCGTTCTCAAAAAAACCAGCCCGAGCTTTTCAGATACCGCTTAAGTAGCTCATAAGAAAAAAAATTGACATAAAGCGTTTCCGTCTGCACCTTACCAAAGCCAGACATGAACAAATGAGTTGGGCCACCGTCTCCTCCTTCTATTCGTTACAGCAACTCCAATCACATATATCATTCGCAGGCCGATCTATTATCCTTGTTCACGTTCGTCAATAAGACGATTTCTTGTTAAGACCCCTATT